GTCCCACAATGGGGAAATTTTAATCTTACAGCAGCAAAGTGGATAGAGAAAAAAACAGTATACAGACAGGATAAAAACAGTATGAAAAAATAATATAATATAATATAATATAAACACTGTAGAAGAGAATCACATGCCATACATGCTGTTAAATTGTCACTGACCACTTCTCATGTTTTTTCTGGTGTCATGCTCTTATTTCCCTTTTAAACTGCTTTGATGGAATTTTTTTTTATTAACAGGAGGAACCAGAAACTGCAGAGGAAGGTAAAGTAAGTTTAGCATCATTGTGGAGTTGCACAATAATAGTCACTAATAAAAGACCAAAAACAGTGGACAGCTCCAATGTGTGAAAAAGACTGTATATATATGTATGTATATATATATATGAATGTATCTGTAGAAATTAGTAACAGTAACAAGACACTTGGATGATATGTTATTGTGTATAAAACCATGGTGGTGACCAGCAGGAAAGTGCTTGAAAATGCTGTCAAGCAGCTATGAAAGAAGACAGGAAGGAAGGAAATGAGTGAGTGAAACAATGGAAATCCTTGCTGGCAAGTTAGTAAATGAAATACAAGAATGATAACATACATGACTTGGTCTGTCTGTGTTATTATATCTATTATTATGTCTATTTCTTTGTTGCTGTATGCTTGATTCTCTGTCATTAGCATACCTTTTTGGAGGTTTAAAATTGGCGAAGTCACAGGAACACACATCCTGTTAAAGCCAATCTCCATTTAATAAATTGTTATGAGTAACAAACCCTAGCTAACAGAGTATTTTTTATTTTGCCTGTTGTATAGCAAACAATAGCTAACTCTGTATAAGTGTTGTTTTGTTTGGTAACCACAGTAGCAAACCGTAGCTAACAGTATTTGTTATTTAGCTTGTTAGCTATACCCTAGTTAACTCTGTATGTGTTGTGTAGCTTGTTAACTACAGTAGCATACCCTAGCTAACTCTAGTTTGTGTTTAGTCTGCTAGTACACCTATTATTAAAACGCTAGTTAATGTACATGTAGTACATAACAGTGGGTTGTCAAATGTTTAATGTTATGTAAAAAAAAAAGAAGAGAACATGTTTTTCTTTCTTTCTTTGCCTCCCTCTGTTGCAGCCTATTATGCCTATATGTCACGCTCATGAATCACACACACACACACACACTCTGCTCACATTTCTAATCATTAGACGTAATCTGAACTGCTGTGTGCACTACCTCACTCAATTAGGTCAGCACCATTTCCTCCAGTGTGACCTGCATATCTGCTGGCCTGTATTTCACACTGCTGAGGGAAATGACTCAGGCTTACACCATATTACCATACCATATTATAGTGTCGCCTGCTGTTTCGGGATAATTACAAATAAATAAATAAGAGGAAATCCAACAGCAACAGAAGGGCAGGTCTGGGTAGAAGACTTGGGCAAAAAGAAAAAGGAAGTAAAAAAAGGCTTTGGTTTGTCTGTAGTTTAACATTACAGAAAATATGGCATTTTGTGGCTACTTTTTCCGCACTCTGCAACAGCATGGCTGCTTTTGCTCTGACAGGCACAGTGGAATCTAACCTCTAACCCAAGCAGATTTTTGTCTCTCTGTGGGATTACTGATATTTAATGCTATGGTGTGTTTACATGCATATGATATCCCTTTCTGTGGCTCCATAGGTTAGCATGCAGGCCAAAACATTTGACTAGGGTTGAATGATTAGTTAGCCTCATTCTCAGTTAGAATACCTAATTAATCAGGTACTGTACTGTACTCACATCTGTATGCATGAGCAGCCAGCTAAATTATTTTTGAATTTACACATGTGCTTTTCCTACTCTGTGACAAATTTAAGTGTCTTTCATGAGAAATACCTATTTGTAGTTCTTTAAAGCAACCAGATTAGTTGATAATGAAATTATTCTGACAATATTTTCAAGCTACAATACAGTTACAAAGTCGGTGTTGACTTTTAAATGAAATATTGGCATTTAGCTAATCTTCTTTCAATTTATTTCATCTTTTAAACTCACCATCTCTTGAGCTTATTTTAGTTCTTTATCGAACAGTCTGCGTCTTTTTATCTTGACATTATGCACCTGATACCACTTCCTGGTAAGCCTGGAAACACTCAAAAGTGACAGTTTAAAACGTTTACAAGAGCAGCGTAACTTGAATAAGACCTTATCAGACAATGAGCAGGGCCTGGTTATATGACTGCCAGCACTGTTTCACATCGCAAACATCCCAATTCATCGGTTTACAATCCACACAGTGGGTTTCTAATTTTCCTAAACAACAGTAAGAAACCTAATTGCAGAGATGTTTCACCTTGCAGTGTCTGACTGATAACTGTACTGGCTTCAAGGTAGAGTGACATGATAACTTTGATTTGAACTAGGACAGCACCACCTACTGGCTGAAAGGAGATACTGCGTGGCATTCACATCAAGTGAAAGTGCATCATATGAAATGCAGCAGGTTAAATGTAGACCAGGTCACAGTTGTGTAATGTCTGAGGCGCAACTCCACTATGTGATACATTTCTACTGACAGAAGTCTGTGTGAGCGCGTGTGTGTGTGTGTGTGAGAGAGAGAGAGAGAGAGAGAGATATCAATGTAGCCAATGTAGCCTGCTGTATCATATCAAAGCCTGGGTAAAAGGTTCAGACAGGGTCAGTAAGCAGGTCAGTGCCCTGTATACTTATTCTATTATTTATATACCATGTATTTTTTTCAATGTGCATTTCGCAAATTTTTGGACATTTCATGATAATTCATGTAGGATATTTGGGATATCATCAGAGCAAAATAAAAAAGAAACACATAAAACAAGGAATGGCCTGTGCAGTAGTAGCTGTAGTATGAGTTTTGTTTTATTGAAATGCATTTCTAATAGGAAGGATATATAGGACCAATCTATGAAGACTGCACTGGCTGCAGCAAAGACTGACAATTTACATTTAAGGTATATAATAAAATAAAAAATATTAAATAAATCCTTGTTTGGAAAATGGTTTTAGAGATGTGTATAGCACATTACTGTACAATAAATTATGCACTAGAATGTATACTGCAATATCTCTTAGTTTTCAATTAAGGAATTTTATATAATTTTATTTTAATAATAAAATTTTAAAATTGGTCCGCCTAATACGAACGGCAGACTTCAGTGGCATTTGGCTGTGAATTTGAATACAGCTCAGCCTTCCTTGGCCCTTTAACGTTAACATGGAGATTTGAATATTGGAGCGGAGCTGGAATAGTTAATGTTTTGCAGTGAGGTTTGGAAGAAGAATAAAATAAATAAATAAAAAGTTAATAAATGAATATCCAGGATACAAAATCCACTGCCAAATTTTACTCTTATCAGTCTTTTGGACCATGTTGGTGTTTTCCACAGATATGTTTTCCAGTGAAGCTCATTAAAATCCCATATATGATGAACAGATCAGTCACTCTGCTCTTTTTCAGTGGCCATTGATGAAAATCACATCCTTCACTTCCTCATACAATCCGTGTACTACATATATACCCTGTCATATGTGATTTTTATTTGAAACAGAATAATCCTAGAAACAGTTACTGTAATCTTTTAAATTTCTTCCACCCAAGAACAAAGTGTCCCGCTGTAGCTGCTCACAGCCATAAAGTCCACTGAGAGCAAACAGCAGTTGCCTGGGAACAAAAGAAAACAAATCCTGACTGAATGTCTGAGTCCAGGCTGGCGCTGCAATCTGTCTGACAAACAGCCACTGCACAACTTGTCAACTCTTTTCTTGTCTAACTGCAGAAATCGGATTCGGTAGGCTTATGGTTATTTACAACTCTCTACTCTGGCATCTTGTATAATTATCATCCTGGAGAAAGAGGGAGTCAGGTGATACTGAAACAGCACAACGTGTCTGTGGAGTCTTATTCCCTTTGGTCTCCTCTCCTTTCCTGGTATTCAGTGTGTCGGATCAAAAGCGTGGACTCATTAATGCTGGTAAGAATGTCATTAGGATGCAGTAGGTACAACACTATGTGTCCTTAAATTAGCACAGTGTTGTTTTTCTACAGTTCTGTACACTGATTACAAATTGTAAACACACTAGAATAAAGCAACGGCAAAGTGTTAGTTTATGTGCTTTGTCATGGAACAATGGTGATTATGTTACAGATATTTTATCTCAGGAGAAAGGTAAAACTTGACTCAGCTGGCTGGACTGTGTTGGGTAACATAATCTTGCAGGCCAGTTCTACTGTCAACTCCTCTGTCACAGCGCATTACTGCTTACTGTTAACTACAGACCTGGTCACTGTCCTGTATCTCCCTGCAGCAGAATGGCCAAGGGAAAGAAAACCAAACAGGCTAAAGGTAAGACAATCACCTTGAAAATGGCTCAGAACTGCGTGGAGTTGGCGCTGGACGGGAAACGCAGTCTGAACCTCAGTTTCAAGGAGATCTCCGCCGTGCCAAAGTGCATCCAGAAGCTTTGTGGCATGAATGAACTGGACCTGAGCAGGAACATGATCAGAAAGGTCCCGGACTTTATTGAACAATTCATCAGCATCTGTGTTTTGGATCTGCACAGCAACTATGTGAGTATGACGGAAAATTGAGGAAAAGATTCTTCAAAAAGCGCCTTTGGTTTATTTAACCTAATGTCTTGAATGGCTTTACTGAGGTTGTGAGTTTGAACAACATGGGTTTTTACCATGCATGTGTTGATGACTCTTAAATGCCTCATTGTGTTTTATCTTCTCTTTCAGTAGTGACAAACTTTCTAAGGTGGTTTCTTTTTTCAGACACTGTTTTACTGTTTTAATACTGTACCATATGTTTCAAAAAGGATAATTTTTTACTCAGTCTAGTGCACTAGTCCTTTGCTGGTCCTGTGATTTATCTTTTTATATTTGTATGTTCACTGTTTGTAGCACTGTATGTTTTAAGCAGGGCTGGATTAATCCTCTAGAGGGCTGCAGAGCAAACTGTGGGCTATTATTGACCATGTTTCTATTTTGTAGTGTGTGTGTTTAGTGGACATATAGTCAGTTATAAATATTGACTATACTGTATGTCCATATAAGAACAAGATAAACTGAAATAATATAGTAAATAAATAAAAATGTAACTCATGGCCCCTGTACAAGATGGGGCCTCAAAATCTCTAATAATGATGGTGTCACTTTAAGGGCCCTGTGTTTTTTGTTCATATTGTGCTATTTGTGGTGTACACAATAAATTACCACAAACACTAAATGGTAAACCTGGAGGGGCCTTTGGGCCCACTGATGGTCTGGTGCCCCGGGGGCAGTTGTGCAGTTGGTAATGGAGCTTTGTTGTTTTACCGTGTCCATGATAAGGTGTTTGATGCGAGTTTAGCTGCCAAAATTCAGTTTTTTAATGGATAAGTGTCTGGTTGGTTGCCACTGTGTCAAACATTTCTTTTTATACAGAGCATTTTCTGTTCAAATGTGTGTGTTACAATACATAAAAAAAGAGCATTAAGAAAAAAATAAGAAAAAGGAGATTACAATTCCAGGACAAAATTTAACTTGAAATTGTAGTATGTATCATATGGTATATTACAGAATATGTTTTTATTGCAGCTGGAGGAGATCCCTGCAACTATCGGCCGTCTCCAGAACCTGATGCTCTTGAACCTGTGTAACAACCGCCTGACGAGCCTTCCCAGCGAGATCGGCCTGCTGAAGAAACTCCACACGCTCAACCTCGGTCTCAACCAGCTGGATGCTCTCCCCGCCTCCATTGGTGCACTGAAAGAGCTCCGCCACATCGGCCTCTCTGACAACCGATTCACCCGCGTCCCCGGCTGCCTCGCAAGGCTGAACAAGCTGGAGAGGGTCAACCTGGACAGGAACCCCATCATCTCTGAGCAGTCACCCAGCCACGAGTCAATCGCGATAACAGAGAGGCTTTACCTGGTCAAGGAGAGCTTCCTGTGTGGGGACTGCCTGAATAGGTGCCAGACTGAGAGGAAGAAGCTGGAGGATGTTGAGCCCTAATTACTGAGTATACCCAACTTTTGTGACCCAGGAAGGCAGAGAGATGTAGAGATTGGTTTTAACGTGCACTACAGCACCATCTGCTGTTTTAACAGTAACGAGCCTAATTAAACATCCACTAGATTACATGATGCACTAACATTGTTACAAACTGATTTTTGTATAGCTGGTATCAATAGACCTTTTTTACAGCAGCCATTTTTACATTAAAGTGTAGGGTAAACACAGGTTACCAATGACACTAAATAAATCAATGGTAGCGCCTGTGTTTACCCTACTACTTTATGTCAAAATGGCTGTGAAAAAGGTCGATTGAGTGTTTTTCAGGGATGTGGATGCTTCTGAACACATCATTTTTTAACTCACGTTTCTCGTTCAGCTCCAATTTTAGACAAACCATCTCACCCTTCTAAGGTTTCACATTGATAAAAGAAATTAGCTTAATTTCCAGTGGGCCTCCTTGATGACAGAAACCTAATCCTGTTTCACTTTTGTGATTACCTATGGTTTAAAGTAGGATGCAGTGTTAAAATACAATTCTCAAGCAGATTTTAACTAACTCAATGAAAATGAACAAAGGAAAATGTTCTGTAAATACTTTGTACTGTACTGCAGGTGTTGACAATTTGGCCTAGAGGGCAGCAAAGACCACCAGACGCCACAAATACCCATTGAGTACCAGCAGCAGCTTTCTGTCACTGACTCTGAATGTTTCACAAGCAATAAATTCTGACTTTCATTACATTAAAAGTATTGTGTCAATACAGCATTAGCACTGTCAAGGATACAAATGTGTTTATTTGAAAGGTCTTGAAAAAAGGCAGGGCTACACATCATATGCAATCTTCACTGTAGGAAATGAAGTAAAATTAACTTAGTCACAGCAGTGTGAATCTACGTTTAAAGAGTAAGCATTATTTATTCAGCCACTGTCTTAGAAAACATTGTTTCGAAGGGATGAAGGCCATAGCTTCTGCCCTCTGTTTATTCCTCTCCTGATAAAGATCAATTCTCTTTCACAACCTCTTCTCATCGTCCTTACAGCATCCACACAAACAATCAATACAATCTGAAAACAGCAAATAACCTCAGAGGCCGTGTCACCCACTTTTCACCACATCGCTGAGCTGAAGAGTGCTGAGGAGACCAGATTAAGATCTCAGCCGATACGTTCATTAAGAAGCAAGCTCCCTAGTATTGACTCAGCCATATTGTGAGACATGAATGAAAGCCAGCAGATGTACCTATATACCTATGATCCTTTATAATGGATGAAAAACTCCACCATGTCAAACAAATTAAAAAATGCTGCTTGAGGCAGATTTAAGGTATTGGCCACTACTGTATTTATAGCTGTAACCATTTTATGGATTTTTTTTCTGATTCGTCTCTTCCAGGTAAATGAATGTTTACACCACATTACTGCTGCTTTATCCTGTTTGAAATCTATTATCTATCTATTCTTGTCTTACGTTTACTTCTCGTCCCCTACCTTACAGCAGTGATAAAACTTGGTATGGTGAAATATTCATTCTCTCTCAACAACCTCAAGTTAAAGCCATGGTTGTATTTATATCTGTTTGGGTATTTTTATGGTTGATCACAGCTTGGTTTACTAGTGTGCAGCTAGAGCTGGAGGTCTGTTACAGCTGAACAGTCTAATGCTCTTTGGGCACCACTCCCACACACATGAGCACTGTCAGTGCTATTGAAAATCAATTCACACACATGCACACACAGTGTGCTGTCTTTTTGTTACCCCCTGCTTTTTTACTCAGCCATTCCATCAGTCGCTCCATCCCCCCCCCCCCCCCCCC